GAAATCCATAAGAAATCGTAACCAAAACTCCAAAAGGAAAACAAAAGGCCACAAATATTCTCTTTTTATTAACCAAATAAAAGAGAGAATCTGCAGCTCAAAACCCTAGCCGAAAATAAATCAACCAACATTCATAGAATAAAACCTAGTTTACGAATTCTCAGGTCTGTTCAAATCTTGGATAGGTATTTTTCTCGGGAAACAAACGCAAAGCGACATTCATCATCCGAAGAGCAAAAGAGAGAGATCGAAAGTCAGAGAGATGAGAGAGAAGGAACTCGCCTGAGAGAGAGAGAGACTTGGAGTGAGAGGAGAGAGAAAATGATTAGGATTCAACGGATGGAGTCTTTAGCATCTTATGATGTGTCCGACCCTTTTATTTTTTTTTATGCTTGCCCCATTTATATTTTTTATTTTCTTACAAAAAAAAACAGTGACTGATGATTGTCTGATGTAAAGTATAAATATTAGTTTTAGATAAAAAAAAAAAAAGTATAAGAATTAAGTAGATTGTTTGATATAGTTGCTAAAAAATAATATGTATAGGACATAATTTTTAATAAGCGATTTTCGTTGAATTATCATGCCTCATATAATATGATGGCTATAAGTAAATTTAAAAGATGTGATATTGTCATCTTACATCAATAGTATATTAGATACATATATTACATCAATGTTATGTTGGATTTTAAAAATATGATTATCAGTTCAAGCTTGTAACACGACTCAAGGTATGGTACGTGGACCCAAATCACGCATCAGAGATTTCTGTATAGGTCGTAATTTGGTAACCTGAGAAATGTGACCGGGCCCATTTTGTCTAGCCCAATTAAATCATTGGCCCACTTAGGGCGGTCTTGGGCCTATGAGTGAATTATGATAACGTGGGTTATGGAAGAAATTAGACAAAATAAAGCCTCGTTCATTTCGTTGATTCGAGTTTAGAATTCGAGTTTTACTACAGTAAAAAGCTCTCACAAACAATCACATCTAACTTTTTTACTATAGTAAAAAGCTCTCATATAAAATCAAATCTCAACTCGAATTAAAAACTCGAATCAGCGAACTAAACGGGCCCTTTAAGACAAATTATCTAAACTTACAATCGTTATCAGTATAGTTCTAGACTTTCATGAATACTGTGCACTAAGATAAAACAAAATAGCCCTTTACCCTAGCATTTCCTTTCTCTTCTCGTCCCTCTCTCCCCTCAAAAGACAACAAAGTCTCTCTTCCCCAAAAATTATAAAAAGACAGAATATACACAAATAAGAAAAGGCAAACCTTCGACCACTTGACTGCCATTTTTCTGACCTCACCCAAAACGGCCACAAAACCCCATTGGCTGCTCAATAACCCACTTATTCATCTCTTTGGTAAGCCTTCTCCTGCGATCGACGAAAACTATCATTAAATCACATTGGAAATGCCTTACTGACGTAGGCTTTTGGAGGGATTTCAGCCAAAGTTCAAAAATCGTTGGAGGGAAAACTTCCCTCTCTTTACCATATTCCTTATCTATAAATAATTATGCTCAAGCCTCTCAAAAGGCAAGGAAAAACACAGATCAAAAGTCCCCCTCCCTGGCTGGTGATTTCTCTGGTTTTGGGTTCTATCAGAGTGACCGACGGAGAATTCCATTCTCCATAACTTCCAGCGGAGTCTCTCTAGAAGTTTATAGGCGTTCTCCTCATTGGAAGTGGTGATAAAAGCTCCCAAGACATCGAAACCCCTTAACCATGGCCTAACACCCCCGAGCCTGAGTTTTATTCTCTCCACACGCTACGTCTTTCGGAACCATTATATTCACAAACAGAGAGACATGACTCTGTTACCCACTTAGGAGCCTCCTCCATAAACTGGTCACATTACTCTCCCACACCATATGCTCACTTGAAGCTCCCCATCAGAAATTCTTCACTATCTCGGAGCCAGAACCACAACGGGTGTCGCCCTCGAATGCCGATGTCCTCGGAGTTATCCGGGTTTAGCCTAACTCAGCCGGGACCAACATCATCCTCTCGGCCACTATTGACGCTAGGAAGCACCCTTAGTAGCTCTTTGATCTCGTCATACCGGCAAGAGCACAGTCATCATGTCCTCGCCAAAAGAGCCCCAACATAAATATATATACATCAATGTTATATTGGATTTAAAATTATGATTATTGTAGATTTTCTTATTTTAAATATTTTAAAAATAAATATAATGTCTTGAATTATTGGATTTGTCATACAATGACATATATTTGTCCCATTCAATTTATGCTCTTTAATGTGATTTATTTAAATCGTTCTTTTTTTTAATTGTTATATTTTTTTTTCTTTTGTTGTTTTTCAACTTTTCTTTTACTCTTTTTATCTCAATTGAAAAAAGAGAGAGAGAGAGAGAGAGGACTTATGTACTGAATAGAAGAGAGAGAAGATAGATTGTGCCTAAATTTATATAATTGAATTGTCTTTTGTAGCTGAAATTTTGTTGTTAACCAAAACCACTCGGAAACACGATTTCTCCCAAGCCGAAGATCTTCCCAACAATCAATCTCCCCTATGGTTTCCACTTTCCATGGTTGTTTTATTGTTTATTACCATTCATTATGAATATAGTATTAAGCTTACGGACCAATTTGAAACCTTTCTTTTGGTAGAGAATGGTAATTTGATTCTATCTCTCAATTAACATAGCAATTTAGAAGCACGTCTAACCAATTTTACTTTATAAAGTTCTTTACAATTTATTAGTTGTCTCGTACAAGTTTTATCAATTAAGAACCTTTTTGAGAATGCAATCTTGGTTTTATTCATTGTTGAAAATCTTCTCTCTTCTTTCCTTCTTGTTTTTTTGTTTTTTTGTTTTGTTTTTTTTTTTTTTTTTCAGTAATCAACAAAACACCCATGTTGTTGCTGCAAAAGGGGGATATGGAAGGCTTTACAACTCTAAAAAGTCTATGACCTTAGATAAGGGTTTGTTTAGTAAATTGATCTAAAATCATGATTCTAGATCCTGGTTCAGAATCAATATTTGTTTACAGTGATTCTAAATCATGATTCTAAATCAGTGTTTAGCTTGGATGATTCTAAATCAGTGTTTAGAATCTGATGTGATATTTTAAACCAGACTCACTCATGATTTTAAAACCACCCCTCTCTTGATTTAAGGTGATTCAAACCTCTGATTCTAAATCATGATTTGAACCTAAAATCATGAATCATAATTTTAATTCTAAAATCATGATTAGAATCACCCTAATTTAAATTCTCGTACCAAATGAAAAAATCTTTTGGAACGATGGGTAGAGTTCTAAATAATTAATAAACTCAGTCTTGTCTTTCAACATAAAATAGGCTTCATAGACAGATCTTTGATAGAATGAAGCGGTACCATTTCCTCTTTCCACCCAAACTCTTGTTATGTCGCTTAAACCGTCAAGGAAAACTTGGAGTTGACCTTAGAGAACCCGTGATAATGTAATGGTTCGGACCAACACCTTATGTGAGTTGTAAACTATTATTGTTGAAATTTGGTACATTTCGAAGTGCACGAATCTGAAAATAAAAAATAATAATAGCAATAACAAACAATGCACTTTATTAAGGATTTTGGTTGGTTTATTATTTTCCTAGAAGATCCAATTAAAAAAAAAATGTAATTTGTGCTTGGAAAAATGAGAACGAGCTCTCATTTTCTTGTTTCAAGCTTTCTTTTTTATTTCCCTACGGAAAAAAGTGATCACTTCTTACCCAGCTCTACTCGAATGATGGTCCAACTTTCACTCCCACCATGTTTCAAGGTTCAGCACGTTGTGTTTGAGACAAAGTGACATTGATCGATGACAAACCAATGGTATCAGGACTCCTGAGCTGATCAAGCTGCTTTTTACCACGACGAAGCAAGTACTCGATGTGAAGGAAATTTTTGTGATCTATTTGTTTGGCATTGCGGCGGAACTCGGCAGAGACCGTTGATTCGATTCTGCGTCGATCTTCAGCAGATTTTAAACGAGCTGCTCTCAAGAATCCTCTGTATAGGCTAAGAACTTGTTTCTGCAACCCCGAAAGCCTTGGCCCACCAGAGGGGGCCATTGTGTCTTGTTATGTTTGTCACCAAATTTTGCTTTAGAAGAAGGTAATTTGTATTACTTTGTCCCTCTCTTCTGCAAAGAAAAACAATTTATTAAGCCTCTTATGAAAGCAACAATGGAAGTTTTTAGTACTCGTGCTCCTTAAGTTTTTCGTTGTTTGGTACTTTCGTTCTTGAGTAATTTCTTGGCAATTTAGTCCATAAGATTCCAAAAGTGTAGCCCTTAACGCCAACATGAAGGGAATAGATTTTAAGGAGCTCTGCCACTAATTTAGGACTAAATTACAACAGAAGAAAAAGTAATTTTCCAGGAACGGAAGTGCCAAACTGCCAACTACAAGAAGTTCAAGAAGCACAAGTGCTAAAAAACATAAACCTTTCGTCCAACTTTAACCCTGTTAACAATTAGAGTTAATTCCAACCGTTTTTTAAGCTCAAGGACTAAATTGCATGGGAAGAAAAAACTTAAGAGACCAAAAATGCCAAATCACAAAAAGTTCAGGGGATGCTAATACTTAAAATTGGTAAAGGAAAAAGAAAAGAATAAAGCATGATGACATAGTTCACACGAAACTTTTATCAAATCTTAATCGCGTTGTCAACAACGAACGCCCATATAAGATAAACTGAAACAACATATTGATGTAACATGATAGCACCATCAACACAAAATTTCAAAGCTTCAAATACAATATTTCATCTGAAGACAAATAATGTCTACAACAGAAAACTGAAACCCATCCATGTTTTGGTAAAAACAGAACAATGTTCATATCTCTACATGCCTAAACCTTTCTGCAACAATAACCCCCCAGCCCACTTTGCTAGAACCTGCTGCAATACATAGCTTTAGTATCATTTAGTTTTTATTTAATTAGGAATTCGTGTTATTTTAGAATTATGGTGATGTACCATCGGTAAGTTTCCTTATTTCATTTTGATTCCGTTTTCTATTTTGCTTAAAAATTTGGCAGTTTGTAAGTTTAATTCAGAAAATGGTTTACGAATGAATTTTTTTATTACTTGTTTTCCTCATCTAAGTTCTTGTTCTCTCTCTAAGTCTTCCTTTTCCTTTTCTAACGATCTATTTCTATATCTATCTTGGTTCAATTTTCTCTCTTGATTGTAACTCTCTTATCTTGGTTCTATAACATATGTTTTAAAGTTTTCATTGCTATTAAGAAATTTGGTATTGAACCTCAAATTCACAAGATATCCAAGTCCTCATTGGAATGAAAAAACATTGTGAAACTATTTAGGTGATAATGGTACATCTCCTCATAACATATAGCCTAAAGTAGTTCAGAGCTGACCATGGGTGGGCATATTATATATATATATATATATATAGTCTATTTCTCACTTAAAGGAGTAACATGGTTACTATTCTCAAGTGTGTTTACTGTTTTGTGCCAATTTGGACAACGAAAAACATAAATAATTGCTATGATACTCGTAGAGTATTTTCATCGAACATGTGTTGGGCATAAAAAAAAATGCAGCCCATTTTTAATCTTCAAGTAGTCAAATCAAAAACACAAGCACGACCAAACTACGAAATTATAATAAGATATCATAGCCATTTTTTGTTTATGAAGATCAGAACAGGTTGGCCAAATCCAAGAATAAATACAAAACAAAAACTTGGGAACTTGACTTGAACAGGGAAAAATCCAGTTTCTCGAGATATTTAGAGCAAGCACAAAGAACATCAAATGAAGTACAAACTTAAAACGAACAAAAGTAAAAGTTTAAAGTTTAGTTGAGGGAGCCGAACCAGGTATAGAAGTGGTAGAATAGCAACAGCTCCAAAGAAATGTTTGCTCCCACGCTGATCAACAAATTCTAGGTTTGTTTTCGTCAGATCCTAGATTTGATCAAAAGGCAAAGATGTGTTTTTGTACAATTATAGATTTAAGGGGAAAATACCAATATATGGAACAACTTTTAACTGATAATCAAAGGCTTGTATTTGTGGCATGTCCTCTATTGTCTCCCTGTCTCGAGGCTATTATGAGAATTTAAGCCCACTTCTTCTAACGTGCCCGTCGGTGAATTTTTTTTTTTTTTTCCGGTCGGTTAATTACACGTTGAGTGTATTAATCTAATATATTATTATTTAAATAGAAAATAAAATAATAAAAGTCAACAAAAATAATAATGTTAGCATTTAAAAAAAAAAAGAATACAAGTTGACGTTTAGTTCATAAATTTAGAATCATGATTTAAAATAATTTTTATTTTACGTATATTTTTTATGAAAAAAATATTATAATGAGCCACGAACTATGATTCAAATTATAATATGAATCTTTTTTCTAAACGCATGCTTAATTATTTTATTTATTCATTGCAACAACATCAGCAGTTATATAGTTGCCCATAAAAGCTGGCATAACATCTAACCAAATCAAGTATTCACATTGAGAACGAGCATAGTTCGCTACACGGTGGGCTACAGAATTCTCTTAACGGGGAACATAGTAAACATTACCACTATTAGCTAAGGAGATAGTATCTCGGGTATCGTCAATAACTGAAGCTTCAGGGGCCTTTGGAATCCGCAAACTAATAGCCCGAACAATATTAAGGTTACCTCGTTCATTTTACCGATTCGTGTTTTTAGTTTTAGGTTTTTACAGTAAAAATCTCTCAGAAAATATCACATCTAACTTTTTATGCTATAGTGAAAAGTTCTAACAAAATATCACATTTCAACTCGAATTGAAAACTCGAATCCGCAAAGTGAATAAGGCCTAAAAAATAATAATGTTAGCATTTTTCACGAAACTTTTAGGGTGTGTTCACTTCACCAATCAAAATTTTTACAATTTGAGTTAAAGTTATGATTGGAGTTAGAATCATGATTGGAATTGTGATTGGAATTGGAGTTAGTGTTTAGGAGTGCATTGGAGTCTCAAGTTTGACTCACAATTCGAGCTGTGATGTGTTCATTTCACAGATTCATAATTCCAACTACCATCTCAATTCTCTTTTATTTTAAATGATATGAATGAAAAAAAAAACTTCTACCGTTAAATTGAAGAGGATTCCACGTTTTTTAACATATCATATTCAAATGAGAAGTATATGTAATTAATTAATAGAGTAATAAATTACTTGTCACATAGAAAAAAAAAACGAAAGATGAAAAAAAGAGAAAATAAGCATTGCCTCAAATGTGTCGAATTATACATTGTCAAATAATTGCCTACTATTGATTGTTGTTTGTGCGTTGGGATTGCCACATCGAACTTGTCATTTCATCTCTTATGAGGCGCATCTGCGTAGGAGATGCTGTATTGGTTGCTGTGTCTATTGTCCGATCTGGGTTGTGATTTTAATTTACATATTGTTCCGCATTTTCAAGGTCGATTTCACTTACCGGAATCCCATCTTGAAAGTATTGTGTCATAAATCTATCATCATGCTGAAACATGCGTATGAAGTTATGTATGACCGCACAAGCAATAGATATTTTTACTTGTTTCTTCATTGGGTAGTTGTTAATAATCTTGAGAATGCGAAACCTTGCTTTCCACACCCCAAATGTGCGCTCGATACAATTCCGGAACGATGAGTGCGTGTAGTTGAACAACTCCCGCTTGCTACGAGGTCGTCCTCGGCGTGCCCTATACTCTTGCAAGTGGTACGTACTACCACGGTATGGTGCTAGGAAACAACCTCTGTTTGCGTAGCCCGAATCTACCAAATAAAATTTGCCTACAAAATCATCCGTGAAGATAATTAAATTCCAACTTTTTACCACTTAACAATGTAGAAACGATGTTTACCTTCAGGAGGAGTTGGAAACTTTTTGTGTCGGCCATCAAGGGCTGATTCAAGCACGCGGGCGTCATGTGCAGATCCCTCCCATCCAGCAAGCATGTATGTAAACTTCATGTCAAACGAACATACACCCAGAACATTTTGAGACATAAATCCCTTCCTATTTCTCCATACCTCTGGATTGTCGGGCGGCGGAACGCAAGGAACGTGTGTCCCATCAAGTGCACCAACACAGTTCTGCAAAGTAAAAGTAGATTAGTCCAAACAAGGTTATGTAACATAAACGAAAGAATAATCAAGTAAAATGTTATGTTGACTTACATCAAACCAAGGCCTGTACTTGCTCCCACTAGTTTCAATGAACGGGTCGATAGTGTTAAAGTATGGGGGCACAATAAAATCATGTCGTAGTCGATATATGGCATTCAGTACAATCATAAAATACTTTGAGATTGTCGCTCCTGAATGCTGCCACTGATGTTGCGTCTCCCTATTACTTTCGCTTTGGCACACAATTGTGAGGAAAATCATCAGTTGTTCATCCACGTTCATATTTCTAGTACTCTTTAACAGATTCTTTTGTTCAAGTAACCAACTCAACCGCTTGAAGCAATCAGTTCTCATTCTTATCTTATTGTAGATCACTAGTTCGTGCCCATCTAACAGATCACCAAGACGTTGATGACCTGTATAATGACTATTATTTCTTGGTCTTGGAAGAGGTCTTTCCAAGAAGTCGTCGCAACATACCCACACTGCGGCAGCACCAAGTACGAAGTCATCTTCAGAGTCGAAATCACCATTCACAGGGTGGGTGTTTCCTTGGTTTGATGGGCCGGCATTCGACATGGTACCTGAAAGTGGTATATGCTCTACAATACCAATATGCAACAAATAATTTGACAACAATTGAACAATAACAATTCTCCAAAGTAAAACCTGTCTCATAGTGTGAAAACAAATGTCATTAACGGGAAATGAAAGGTAGATATCGACCGTAGGCCCAATTCTACATTGTTCACAAATGCAACAGATAAATATAAAACTCACAATGTAACATAGTACAAAAGCCGCTAATAACCAAATAAATGAGAGTTCATGAATAAGAACGTCAACAACATAAACATAAAGCATAAAAATAACTCATTGTTCGAACCACATAAGTTCCTTGCCGTTACACGTGATCGTCATTCCCTTCTCCACCAAATTGGCCTGGGAAGTTGGGGTATTGATTACCCATGTAGTATTGGGGTGGGCGTTGTAAATTGGGAGGGACTTGTTGAAAAGCGTGAGGCGGTTGCTGATAGTTGGGCGATGGTTGAGTTAAGTTTGTGGGTTGTTGGGGAAAAGCTGGATGATTTCCGGGGAATTGTTGTTGATATTGTGTTTGGAATGGTTGGGAACCCATAAATGGTGTTCCGTGGGGCATGTTATATGTGGGTCCAGTGGGTGGCGCCTGTTGATTGGACAAGGCCTTCAACGTTTTCAACACATAGAGCAGGCGTTGGCTTTCTTTTAAACGTAAGAACAAGATCTGACAATTTGGATTCCAGTTCAAATACTCACTAAAAGATACAACCTGTTCGTCGTCAAGTAGCATTTCACTTATGACTTCACAGCAACGGTCAAATGTTGAAGTCGGCGTTTCTCCAGGCTGTGTAGCCCCAGGTTGAGTTGCACCTGAACTAGTGCCTTTGCTAGACTGGCGCCTTTCAAGAGTATTGGCTATACTCTTTAAAAGTATTTTCGCTTCTGGATCCATCATTCTTACCCCGCTCTTGCTTGGTCTCTTCGATATTGGCCGCGAAGAAGAGGCAATATTCAATGAACGTCCCGACGAATGAAGAGCGCTTCTCATTGTTCGAACAAAACCTTCCTCAGTTTCACCAGCTTGAGAGGTTCTGCCAACTACATTCTCCGCTTCCTCTATGTGCGGCTGTGAGGTTTCATCTTCCTCATCGGTATCGTCCTGCCGTGATTCGAACGCACCACGTGCACGCGTACTCGCGAAGGCCTCGTAGTAGAGGTCATAATTTTTGAGCGGGTCGTTGCGTGCACGCTTTGCCCATTTGTGCGTCTGTTTACACAGCAACTTGAAAATCAACAATTGGGTGAAAACACTTATGCAACTACATATGCAGAAGTACATAAAAAAAAGTACTAACCTTGCAGAAGTCATCCCAGTATTCGTCCGTGCATGTTGGGCAATTTTGTACGGGATCCCATCCGAGGCCGGTGTTCGTGCGAAGGGCAAGCGCAGCATTGAATTTCTTTTTCAGTATTTCCTTTGCCTCTTTCACTCGGCCTAGAGGAATCGGACTGGAAAATAGAGGGGACAAATCTGTGGCCCATTGCTCCCAATCAGCTGGCTCCGGTTGGCGTCTGTTGTTCTTATTGTAAGCCGTAAGTCGGATTAACAGCGATGTTTTTGTTTTTTCAGACCAATAGAAAGTCACGTCCTCTTCATTTCTTCGCGGCATCTAATACAAACATCAAGACCACCACCCACGGCAAGAAAGAGCAATATGCCACGACAAAGAAGAATGGATGATTAAAGCATCACGTTTCATCTCATTTGGCTCAGAATTTCGTATAAAAGTGTCATCATCAGTTTCGGAGCACTAACCTTAAGGCAAGGCAATTACGCTACCAAGCCTTATTTATGAGGTGAGGGATGACATTCCTCTTGGAAGTGTCGGAGTACTACACTAGGGGGATGGGTCAATCCATCATAGCCCGCATAAATAAAGCGGCAACTAATAACTGCCTAAATACTTAAAGAGTAGCGCTACAACGAAACTGATATGCATTGTAAAAACGATTCATCATTGCCAATAATCCGGTCAAGATGAAGAAGAAGAGCTCATCTTCCCATCCAAGTAGTACATGTGTAATATATTTATATAAATGAAACACAAAAAATGCATTAGAAACATGAGAAATGTAAATGTTTCATAAGAAGTAATCGCATAAGCCAATTAGTGTAGTTCTCATTGATAATCAAAATGTAGGGTGATATGGTAAGTTGGAAGTCTACACTTTCGGATTCTAGCCCCTAAGGCTCACTCCTTGTTATGTTGCAACCGTAGAATTGACCATATGCAGCTGGGCAGCCGGTTGGCTGTCAAATATGTGGCTGGAAACTGATATGGCAAGTAAAGTGGCCTAATCCCAAAACCATACACACTATACATGACCAGCAGCCAAAGATCAAATGAGTTAGCTTGACTAGAGCACATGGGATCATTGCCTATGAACAAGCCGCAGAGTTGGCCATATGCAGCCGGGCAGCCAATCTGATGTAAAATATGTGGCTGGAATTAAGTGGCAAGTAATATGGCCTAATCCTAAAACTATACACACTATACATGACCAGCAGCCAAAGATCAAATGAGTTAGCTTGACTAGAGCACATGGGATCATTGCCTATGAACAAGCCGCAGAGTTGGCCATATGCAGCCGGACAGCCAATGTGATGTAAAATATGTGGCTGGAATTAAGTGGCAAGTAAAATGGCCTAATCTCAAAACTATACACACTATACATGACCAGCAGCCAAAGATCAAATGAGTTAGCTTGACTAGAGCACATGGGACCATTGCCTAGGAAACTGCCGCAGAGTTGGTTCCCTGGAATCCAGATTATTGTTTCAAATTTTCAGGCCACAATTGTCTACTACCAGCAGCCAAAGATCTATATTCAAACTATACATGACCTAATCCCAGCCGAATACTAGCAGCCTATAGCAATGCAGAGTACTCTAAAAATCCGAAGTAAACAAAAGCAATTCCAGTATAATGTTCCGTTGATGCATTTTATCAAACATGTGGTATGCAATCAGAAGCATTCGAATTGGGCATAAAAGTTGCATGTGGAAATGCCTACTATGAATATAAAGATGACTGTGACATCCAGAAAGCATGAAGACCGATCCTCAAGTGCACCAACAGAGAACAAGTTCAAAGGAAAATGTGAGAGAACTTACCGAATTCGACCCAGTGGATGAACGTGTGTGCGCTTCAACCAAGAACCCACGGATGGATGAGCTCGGAATACCCCAATCTCTCGGTCGCCGACTGCGGTACCTTGAGATTCTCCACCGATGACGGCGAGTTTTGGTTGGACGTCGCCACTTACGGAGACAACTGCTAAGAACAACCGCCAACGGAGGTTTCCGATCGCGGAGTTTACCACATAGTTCCTCCGTTTTGGGGGAAGTGAAGAGGACTGTTGAAAAGGTTCTACCGACATGCATAAACGAGAGAGAGATCTGGGGCAAAGCTCACCGGGGAGAGATTTATCTGCAATTTCTGTAAGCTGTGGATGATGGAAACGGCTGTGGATGATGGGAAACGACAGAGGACATACGGTGGAAAGAGGAAAGAAAACACGAGCAAAAAGCAAGGGAATCCCACACCACAGACAAGAAAGATCTGCAATTTCCAGTAGAGCCACGACCGGGAAGTCACGGGGGTGGAATCAACGATCGAGAAGACACGATCTGCAATTTTCCTTAGCTGTGAGTATGGGAAACGACAGACAGCTCTCGGTGGGAAGAGAAGAGAAAAGCAACGGTAATTTCCCGAGGGAATCAAAACAGGCTTTTGCCGAGTTGTGCAGAGCGAAGTTACTGTAGACGCAGATTCGAGTTAATGGGAATTCAGGCCTCCATTGAATTCGCTCAACTCGAATAATAATTCGAGTCTGAATGGAGTAGTTGGTGTAATGAACACTGACTTGAGTTAATGGGCTGATTCAAATTGGGCTAATTTGAACCAAATCTGTCAAACGAACACCCCCTTATTCATTTTTTTTTAGGGAAAATTAACGGTTATAAAAGCAATAATACTAGTTATTTGGACAAAGATATTATCCGGTGTCCATTTTCTTTAAAAGAGTAAATTTAACATTCTAATATGTATATATTCCAATTCTTATCATTGACAAGGGGGTATTTGCATGGAATTATAGGATATTGTATTGTAATTTTCCTTAAGAAGGAGTTATCTTCATGAATTGGGTTTTGAGAGTTGGGAGTCAAACTGCAAACCAACCCAAAACCGTCAATTTGAGATTTTCGTGATGCTGAACCAAAAACAAAAGCTGCCCCAACCCAACTGAATCTAAACCAAAAGAATATATGTTTCTACGAATTGATTTTTCAGTTTCTACAGACACGATCTGTCTTGAGTTCTCTTAATATGATTATAATTATAATAATAATAATTATTATTTATTAAAATTCTCTCATTATGAATTATGATTATTGTTTGTCTTGTTCAATTTTATTTGGATTCCTTTTAGGGTGAGTTTGGTAAGAGGAAAGGAAGAATAGAAGGTCGGATAGAATGTGAGAAAAGGAGGAGAGAGTGATTTCCTTCTACTTGCACCTACAGGAGTTGGAGAATTTTCTACCAAATTGTATACGGCAATGTGACATTTTAAAAGCTAAGAATCTTTTATGCAATCACTTTGGTAAACAGAACTTTTATAAGAAGCCTACCAATATTTATACAAGTATGATTCTTGAGGTCAAAGATTGATATAGGAAAGAATTTGGACATCAAATTTATTGAAGCAATGCGGTTCAACATGGTTTTTTAACAATATAAAAAATCCTTTTTAACAATACAAAAATTAAAGAAGAAAAGTCAATCCTTTGTAAATACTACCCAAATGCCAGAATGAAACATGTTCATTTCTCCTCAACTTGTTTCATAGAAATATCGTCTCTTTTAATTAAAACCATGCTCTTTGTGACCCATTTTCATTTCTTTTCATAGCCTTTTTATGCCGATTTAAGAACTAAAGCATATTTCAAGAAAACTTAAAATTATTCTACTCCCCAAAATTGATACAATATGGTTTAACACTTTCATCTTTTTCAATTACTATAGTAGGCTCAAAGTAATCACACAACACAACAAGATCAAATCAATTAAAACGCAAAACAACTCGATTATTCTAAATTAAAATTAAATTCCACGAAGCCAATAGATTCTCATAGCCATAAAAGCAGTTGTAATTGTTCAAAATCTTCTGCGCTTCAAACCAACATATATTGAAATAAAACAAAACTGAAATCCCAACAGAATCTCAATTGCATTAAAACTGAAATTGCCTAGTTTACTATGATAGCCCAAAACCTTAGACCAGTTTGCAAAATTACGCCTTGAGACGTCCATAGAACTTCTGTTTCTCCTGTGTGGTCTGGAAACGTCCATGCCCAAACTTTGAGGAGGTATCGATGAACTTGAGCTTGATCTCCTCGAGAGCAACACGAGATGTCTGCTTGAGAAGAGATTGACGAAGGGTAACAACCCTCTTCTTGGGTCCAACACAGCATCCCTTGATCAACAAAAAATCATCCTTCACCACACCATAGTGTGGGAAGCCACCGATGGGAGTGATGTCTTTCTCGGTCCTGCATCATTAACCATGTTAGCAATCACACAGAACGTGCAAAGCATATACACCTATCTACATAAGAAACTGGGAAGTCATGTTACCGACCTATCGAACTCGGTGATGGCGGTGTGAGACTCCTGTCCAGCCTTGCCGAGCTTGTAAACCTTCTTGTTCATCTCAGTACGGTGGTGGTATCCATTCTGACCAGCACGAGCAACTGTGAATGAGACTCTGGCAGGATGCCAGGCACCAATACAAGCCACCTTGCGGAGACCCCTGTGGGTCTTGCGAGGAAGACGAGTCACACCCCACCTAGTGACAACACCTTCGTAACCCTTACCCTTGGTCACACCAATGATGTCAATCATCTCATCCTTCTGGAAAACAGCATCAACAGGGACTTGCTTCTCAAAGAAACCGTAGGCAAAGTCCACCTTTTGGGCAATAGTCCCACCATTTACCTGAATCTCCATAAGGTGAGCTTTCTTCTGCTTCAATCCCTTCATTTTCCTGATCTGTATATGCAAAAGAAGCAATCACACATCAGAAAAACATTTCATAATGTAGCTAATTACAAATAAATCACATCAAACAAATTCCATCACCAGCTGGATGTTTTATAAAAGGCAAATTATAATGATTCTACACACTTAAAGATTTAAAAAGTCTGACACAGAATATTAGAATCCAATAGAAATATTAGTTTTCGTACCTGAGTGTGAGCCAAAACCCGGATAACGGTAGCATATTTCTTCAGCTTCTCAAGCTGAGCCTGGATATTCTTCTTTCCCTCATCACTTTCATATTGCTTGGAGTATTTTGTGAAGGCCTTCTTCTTGGACTTGCACCAGTTCTTGTAGAACCTTCTCTTCACCTCCTCACTGAGATGCTGAGCCCACACAGTGTTCAGAGTACGAAGACCACGTGGTGTCTTCACATACCCAACAACTCCAACAATAACCATGGGAGGTGTCTCAATGACAGTCACAGCTTCACATGTCTCCTTCTTGTGAAGCTCTAACATCAAATAAACATGTAAACAGTGAGGGAAGGAAAATAGAAAACATAAAACTTTCCAACAAATAGATTTGCTCATAATAACTGACAAACAGCACTAGAAAATGTGAAAAGCAAATATAAAATATAAATTTGGAAAGGGCTTCACTTGATCCCGGTTTTTCGACCTCCCTGACAATGTGAGTCATCCCAGCCTTGTAACCCAAAAACGCAGTGAGCTTGCAGGGCTTGGTTGGGTCGTCCTTGGGAAAAGCCTTCACTGCACAAGTTCAAGAACCAACAACGCTTTCAGATTGACATAAATTCACACCTTACAACACCGATATTTACAATGATCTATATTATACACTGATCAAATGCAAAATCAACACACCCAGAGAAACCCACTCTTCCATTTAAAAAAAAAAAAAGAACGAAAAGAAACAAATGCTGTTGAACATAATGATTATATATCCCTCCCAAACCAAATCCTATAAAAAATTTTAAACACAAAACAAAACAATCATTCTTCTAGATGTACAGCCCTTCCCAAACCAACCAATATAAAATTTTAAATATTGAAAACAAAACAATCATTCTTTACAAATTAGATGTGCACTCTTTCAAAAGTAAAACATAAGAAATGGATGAAACAGGAACTTAAATACAACGAATGAATGAGTAATCAAATGTAAAATAAACAAACCTCAAGAAACCAAGTTTTCTCAACCATTAAAAAATTTATCAGAAATGCCGTTGGAAATACTTACAATTTTATTGAAAACATCTCCCGACTAATCATTCTTAATAAAAAAAACTAAACAATTAGAAAACCTTGTCTCACGAGCAAAGGATTATTTCGTAAACAATCATTTCTAACGAAGGAAAAAATAAAGTAAAAATGAAGAACAAAAAGACAAAAGATAAATGAGTACAGATACAGATATATACCCTTTCCCCTGTGGCGAGAAGCCCTCTTCCTTGGAAGAAATCCAAGGGAACCATGCCTTGGGTGCTCAAACTTCCTGTGAGACATCCTCCTCCTCCCCCTATACAAATATCAAAATTAACACTTTCCAGAAACAATCACATTAACACTTGATCTTTATCATACTTCATAAGAATTTCAGAGTAAAAAAAAGAAACCAAAATGAGATTCACAAAAATCAATTTTCGGAACGAAAAATATGAAAGTTTACACTCATTAGAACAAAGAAAGCGGCAAAAACTGCAAATTCAAAAGCATAAATCCGTTTCTAATATGAAACAAACGAGATTATTCAACTAATAAGCAAAATCCAGAGAAGAAAAATGTCGGTCTCAATCTATAATTTGAACAAAAACCGGGCGTCAAATCTAAACAGTCTCTGGTTCAAGAAAATGTAGAGAAATGAAAACGCAGATCTTCGTTTTCTTCTTTATCACTAGGTTTTCTAAGAGAAAGGAAATGCAGAGACGGAGAAGAACAAGAGCGAGAGAGAGACCTGAGCTTGTTGCTTATGCGGCGAGCGAACGAACGAGACGAAAGGAGCATATCACTAAAACCCTACTTCGGTTTATATAGTTGTCATTTTGTAAGGGTACCCTCGTATTTCTTAAGTTTCTTCACAAAACCCCCCAATTTCATGTCCACTCTTCTTTTGACCCAATAGTTTTCCTATTTGTATATTTCTTCTCTAATTATATATTTTTTAGAAGATGTCTAATTGTATTTATAAATTAGGGATTACTTACATAAATAGATCTTTTGCGGTTTCTTTTTTTTCAATTTATTCTTCTGCTTTTAGAAACTACAAAGCTACATTTTGAATTTGATAAACTTATATCAATATTATCCATAGCATAGTATATAGATAAAAAAATATAATGAAAAAAATAAAATACCCTTAAATATATTTTAAACATACAAAAAATAATTAAAAAAAAGAAACATAAAATTTCAATAAAATATTTGGAAAGTTCATGTTTCATAAATTTCCTTAAAAAATGAAATTGAATGTTATTTCATTAAGAGTATTTTTGTCTTTTCACGTCTTTTTTTTTTTTTCAAAAACTCCACGAGGGAAAAAATTGAAATAAGTTGTTCAAATTCAAAGTATACCTTTATAGTTTTTAAAAACAAAATGATAAATTATTTATACTTTTGCCTAGTAAGTTCTAAAAATTAATGTCAAACAATATAATTGAAAAGCAAGTTAGGATTGCTTTTGCATAAGTGCTTCTATGTCGTTGTCTAAATTTACTAAAATAACCTTAATACTAAAAACTTAAGCCTTGTTCTTTTTACAATTCAAGTTATTTTGCTACAGTGTTTTTCCTCACAAAAAGTTTAAATTTAACGTTTTTACTATAGTGTTTTTTCTCACAAAAAAGTTTGAGTTGTGAAAATAAGACACCTTTAATTTTCTATCTACCCATTTTATTTTTCATATCAAATTTAAAATATTCATTTTTATATATTTATTTAAAAGTTAAAATATTTTATTGAATATGTCATGCTAGATAAATAATTTTGAAAAAAAAAATGTTTAAGTTAACAACAATGTATAAGAAATTTAGTGATCTAGTGATTTTATTTTTTAAAACTTATTATTAATAAATAAAATATTATTTTTTTATTATTTTGGTGTAAAAATAATTTATATATTTACATCAAAAATAGAAGAAAAAAAAACTAAATATAAATACGGGTGCTAAAGTATATCTATTTAGTCATTAGCCTACTTGGGTTTTTTTAATTGTCTTCATCTTATTCTGCCCACTTCGTGTCACCTAAAAGGTCATTTTCACAACTATCCCAAACAAATTAATCTTTACTACCTTCACGCATATGTGTATCTGAATAAGTTTTGAGACTCTCTAACGAAGCAAAGTCATCATCTCTATTAATCCGTTCATTTCGCTGATTCGAGTTTAGAATTTGAGTTTTGCTACAGTAAAAAGCTCTCACAAACAATCACATCTAACTTTTTTATTACAGTAAAAACCTTTCACATAAAATCACATCTCAACTCGAATTAAAAACTCAAATCAGCGAACTAAACGGGCTTGTTGCCTCAAAGACGGGTCATCACCATTCATCTCTTGATGATGAAACTCCTCAGCAACCCAATCTTGATCACTATTTGTTCTCACATTTGTTTGTACGGCTCGTTTGTTTCATATCCAAACTCAAATAATAAATTATATTACAATGTTTTTTTACACACGATAAATTTAATTTTTAAAAGTCAAAATCAAAAATAATGATTTAAGAATACATTTTAAACAGATCCTTAAATTAAAAGCTCTCTAAAAAAACCCCACGTCTTTTGACATACCTAATAGGGTGCATTTCACCCAAAATAACAACGTTTTTTGGAAAGACAAATTGGAGTTGTTTTGTTATAAGGATAACTATTTGTTTTTTTTACTCGAATTATTGGGTGTGTTTACCAAACCGTAAATAAATGTAATGAAAAAGATAATGAGATTACAAATGAAAGTAAAATAATATGATTAAGAATAACTCATTACTTTTTATGTGTTTATTTACTATTAGATTGTGTAATGGGAAACAATCTTATTGTCATTTCTTATATTTACTAAAATTAAGAAGAATAGTGCTAGGCACACGACCTCAAATCTCAACTATTATGCATCAACTCACGTGACTGTGAGATGTTATTTTTACACTAGTAAGTGTTTAAAACATTGCTATGTCAATTAATAATAATATATAACATCTACCAATTAAAAAATGACAACTCTTTTACCGAGTAAATTAGTGCACAAAAGTTAAGATTTGAGTTGGTATCCCTAACATTACTCAATTAGGAATAACAATACTTCTTTTTACATGATTAAATAATCATTGATTACATAGTAATCCATTAAGAGTAGATAAGTAAATTTAACATTTATTCCCTTTGACAATAAATCAATATAAAAAGGAGTGTAAAGATTGGTATTTTTTTCTCTCATTTCCTATATTATATAGGGTCCATAAAATCTCTATTACTAATTTTATAAATAAACATATTATTAGATGAAAAAAAGAATCATTCGTTACTTTCATTTTCTTTTAATGCAAAGTAAACATGCCGTAGTGTTTATTTTCACTAATTTAATGAAAAATGAGGTTTAAAATATTAAAAAACAGTTTCTTTAAATTTAAAAGTGCTTTAATATTATTAAAAAATAAGAGTCATTTTTTTTAAGAACAGATTACCAAAATAATTTTATCTCATAATATTAATTATGAAGGTCATGTTTAGTTCACTGATTTAACTTTTTAATTTGAATTAAGATGTAATTTTATGTAAATTTTTTTATTATAATAAAAAAATTAAATATCACTATTTTTTATAATTTTTTCCTATAATAAAACTTAAATTATAAACCCAAATAAAAAAAATAAAAAAGTCTCTCGACTCGAAGCAATAGCGCCAAACTAGGGTTCGTACAAATAAAAGAAGGGACGAATTAGAGCAAAGCCGCCCTATAAGTACTATATAACATCCCCAAATCCACTCTCTCTCTCACTCACCCCTCTCTCGTTCTCTCAGCGATTTCTTTGTTCCACAGAAAAGAAACCTGTGTTTGGTTGTTTTTATTATTATTATTATTTATTTATGTTCAAAACATTATTATTCATATTTGATTTGAAAATGGGAGAAAGAGAATGATGAAAAACGCTTTGTAGCAAACGCAGCACCACTCTTTCTTCTGAGCTGGTGCGATGAGGCGGCAAGTTTTCCACACGAGATTTCTGACTCTCTCTCTCCTTCCATGTTATTATTGTATGTATTCATAGTGCAATTTTTTTTCCCCTGAAAACTTTGCGATTTTGCTCTTTGCTAGGTCATGCAAGTTTTTTTTTTTTTTTTGTGGTTTTTTGATTTAATGCACGCTTTTAGATGTTGGTAACTGGTGATGGTTCTTAATTTAGACGCTTACTTTTGTCCAATGCAAAAATGATTTTCTTGCTCCGAATCTAGAAATGATTTTCTTAGGCATCTTTTTGTTATGAGGAACCAAAAATGAAAGTTTATAATCTTTATCAAAGCCAAATCCCTCTTGTCATAACAACATTCAGTATAAAGGTGGTATTTTTCAAAGCTGCAACAATAGAAGAGTTTTATAATATGTTCTGATTGTTTTATTTGCATTTGGGAAAAAAACTGCACACTAGGTGCTTGTGGAAATGCATGATTTAGGAATTACTTTGATGTTTTGTGTGGTTCATTCCCTAATCTCCTCTCTTTTTCCCACACTTCCACTTTTCATTGTTAATCATTGGCAACTATCTCTTTGTTCCCTGTATATTGATGTGAAAATTTTGGTGCTTGTGGAAATGCATGATTTAGGAATTACTTTGATGTTTTGTGTGGTTCATTCCCTAATCTCCTCTCTTTTTCCCACACTTCCACTTTTCATTGTTAATCATTGGCAACTATCTTTTGTTCCCTGTATATTGATGTGAAAATTTTGGTTGAGATTATTTTATTTGATTCTTTTTTTTTATCTTTTTCCTCGGTCCTGAATCCATTCTCTTGTATGAATAGGGTAAATAAGATGTATTTGCTGTGTTTGAAATTAGAATTGTTTTTTGGTCGGTTTAGAATTGATCTCATTTTTGTTTTTTATGAAAAAATGAAAATATTTTTAAAACGTCCTTCGACGTAATAAAGATAAAAAACATAAATAAAAATGATTTTTTGGTTTAATATAAAATGAGAGAGAAATAATCGTTTTTTATTTTTTGTTTTTATTTTTTCATTTCTCGACTAGAAAGAGAGAAAAAGAAACATTAATGAGTTTTTTATACTGAAAATAATTTTTTTGATAAAACTATTAAATATATTTTTAAAAATAATTTCTGTTTAAAATTGAAAACGTTTTTATTTTTATTATCATATAAAAAATAAAATTATTTTATAATAAGTTTTAAACGCGTCTTTTATTTTTCATGTTTTTTGAGAATGAAAAAATAAAAAAAATTTCAAACGGCATTTGATATAATTAGAGATAAAAAAAATGAAAATGAAAATAATTTTTTAATTTAGTGTAAAATGGGATATAAATAAAAAATAATTTGTAGTCATTTTTTATTTTTATTTTCTCTTCTCTCGTGCAGAGAGAGAAGGATATTAATGAATTTTTAATATTGAAAATAATTTTTTGATAAAATTAACAAATGTATTTTTAAAAATTATTTATGTAGGTTAAAAATATTTTTATTTTTATTTTCATATAAAAATAAAATTATTTTATAACGAGTTTTAAACATATTTAAGGTGTGTTTGGTTGGTGTATTTATGTTATGATTTGAATCATAATTTATAATTTATTACAGTATTTTTTTCTCATAAAAAATACACGTAAATTAAAAATAGTTTTAAATTATAATTTTAAATTTATGAACTAATTATTTATTATTTTTTTCTTTTGATTAATGTATATGTGAAATGATATGCATATTAATATCTCTGAAACAGTTGCTTTGTCATCTGTTTGTCTTAAATTTTAGCTTTAATTTTG